TGGAATTTTCGACAGGTTGATGTCGAAAATTCATCAAAAATCGACATATAGGTGTCGAAAAGGTGAAATTGTTGAATTTGGTATTTTGGTAATTCGACAGCTACCTGTCGAATTTGAACTGTGATTTTTTTTTTTTTTTTTTTTTTAATTTGTTTTCTTTCCTATTTTTATTTGCTTGTGTTTATATTATGTATATTAATTTTTATTTGTGTGTTGTTTTGCAGTGGAAGAACCACGTGAACCTCGTATACCTCCGACTGTCTCGAACCGTAAGAAGAGGAAGGAATTATCCGATAGAGGCAAGGGCATAGCAGTCACGACCAAGAAAAAGACCACGACCAAGAAGAAGTCTGGAGAGGGTTCTTCGTCAACGAATCCGGTGCCGGCTCTACCTTCGACTGTAGAAGTTGGTGATTCGAGCAACGAACCGGTCCGAGGTCCCGAGATACCGGAATTGTACACAAAATTTGATAAGCACATTGCTTATCATATTGTGAACGGAGGGCCAGATCGCTCGGAGCGCGGCTCAGAATTTCGAATTCGAAATCACACAGGAACATTGAAAGGTTGGGAGCCGGCGCCGTTTATTACAGAGGTAGTACAAAGATGTGGATTAATGTCAGTTGTACAAGCATCGTACAACACTGTGGACGGCCATCTACTTAGAGCCTTCATAGAGAGATGGCAGCCAGCTACCAACACATTTCACTTACCTGTTGGAGAGATGACCATCACACTTGACGATGTAAGTACGTTGGTCGGTTTGCCAGTTGTTGGGCGTACCGTATCTTGCGAGCGTTTGATCCGTGATTCCAAAACGAAGTCCAGTAGTTTGATGTTCGAGTTGCTAGGTGAGTACCCGGACGATGTAAACAAGAAGAAAGCGGTGAAGTTGGAATGGTTGAAGGCTAAATTTAGCAAAGTGACCATGAGAGATAGTGCGGAGAAGAGGACATACGCCATTCGGGCGTATTTGTTATTTTTGCTCGGGTGTACTATACTGTGCGACAAGACAGGCAACATGGTAAGCGTGAAGTATCTAAATCTTGTATCTGATTTGGATCGGATCGGCGAGTATGCTTGGGGCACTGCATGTCTTTGCCGGTTGTACGATGAGCTTTCCTCAGCCTCACAAAAATCAACGAACTCGATGGCTGGCTGGCTGACGCTCTTTCAGTCATGGATTAGTCTTGTATTTTTTTAGATGGATGTTGTTTGATGGATTTTATTTGATTTACTTGTTTTTTAATTTAGTTTTATATGGATTTTGGTTGTTTTAAATGAAAATATTTTTGATAATTTTCAATTTTTTTTTTGACCAAAAACACTTAGAATATGTTTTTTATCTTACATTGCAATAAATTTGGGGTTAATTTCACAAAAAAAAGAAAAAATTGCAATTTTTTCAAAAAAAAAAAAATGATACAGATCAAATTCGACAGCTAGCTGTCGAATTTCAATCGACTTGTATTTATTTTGACATCAAATTATGCAATAAACCAAATTGCAGATACAAACAAAATGATGACAAAATGAAAATACCATTTTCACACAATATCTCAAATTATTAGCACACATATATTTGAGCCACAGATTTATAAGAGATAGAAAATGCCCACAACCTTTTCTCACTATATACATCATCCAGTCCATCTACTAAGCAGAAGCCACGTGTCACCACATGGTTAGCTGCTTATCTACTATCCCCTCCACTCCCAAAAAAATTCAGTTAAGTGGCTGAAAACTAGTTACAAGAACTTCCTCCTATAAGCAACAACATTTTTTTTCTTGCAAATAATTTTATTTTATTTATTAAAAAAAAAGAAAAAAAATGGAGACTAGCATTGCATGTTGTACTCGTTCAACAATCTTGCCTAATGTTTCTTCACAGCAATATTCGGCTGCCCTCGCCTCGCCCCGCTCCGTTTATCCTTCTTTTAGCTCCAAGGTTTCTTGTTTCTGAACTATCCATTTAATTTAATTGAATTCTTGTTTTTTTTTGTTTTTTATGAATATCATGATCCTCGTATCGGATTAGAATAATAACGTAACAAGGAAATGATTAGCTAAAAAAATTTAATATATTTGTTATATTACAAGTTTTATAAACTATGAAAGTTGGAAAATGCAGAGTTTGAAAGCAAGCTCGCTGTTCGGAGAATCGTTGCGTGTGGCGCCAAAATCTTCGTTGAAGTTTGTCAAGGCAAAGAATTCTTCCTCCCTTGTGACCAAGTGCGAGATCGGTGACAGCCTGGTGAGCATAGCAAATTTTGCTTAATTGAATGATTGATTGACTGATTGATTAATTGAATGATTGATTGATTGATTGCAGGAAGAGTTTCTATCGAAATCCACGAAAGACAAGGGCCTGATTAGGCTAATGACATGCATGGGAGAAGCACTAAGAACAATTGCATTCAAAGTGAGAACTGCTTCTTGTGGAGGAACAGCTTGTGTCAACAGTTTCGGCGACGAACAACTAGCCGTTGATATGCTCGCCGACAAGCTTCTTTTCGAGGTCAATTTATATAATTATATATATTATTTATTAGAATTGAATAATCTCTATCTATGTATATTAATGAACCACGTTAAAATTCGTGTCCTTTTTAATTCTGTTTCTACGAACTGTTACAACACTTTACGCAAGAGTAACGAAAAACTGATCGAATTCGACACAAATAAATAATATTTGCACGAAATGAATCTAACAATTTTTTAAACTTGGCGACGCGTATGTAATAATAGGCACTGGAATATTCTCACTACTGCAAATACGCATGCTCCGAAGAAGTACCCGAGCTACAAGATATGGGAGGACCTGCTGAAGGTGTGTATTATCAAGATTCGATTTATTTTTTTCCTCGTATATTTTAGTTTATATATATAAATAAATAAAAAAAATTGTTTACGTGTGCAGGAGGATTCAGTGTAGCGTTCGATCCACTAGACGGATCGAGCATAGTGGACACAAACTTCACAGTAGGTACAATATTCGGAGTATGGCCAGGCGACAAGCTTACTGGTGTAACCGGTTCTCAACAAGTGGCTGCAGCTATGGGCATTTTCGGTCCTCGTACTACTTACGTTCTTGCCCTCAAGGATGTTCCCGGAACACACGAGTTTCTCCTCCTCGACGAAGGTCTTTTTTTCTTTTTTTTTTTGATTATTTATGTGATTTGATAATGTATTTATTTAATTTAATTTTATATTTTTCTTGCAGGAAAATGGCAACATGTGAAAGATACAACCTCAATTGGAGAAGGGAAAATGTTTTCCCCTGGTAACTTGAGGGCTACCTTTGACAACCCTGATTATGCCAAGGTCTTTTTTTATTTTTTATTTATTTTATTATTTAATATTTTAAATAAATTGTGAAATATAAATGAAATAGCAATTTGTATATATATATCGAACAGCTGATCGACTACTATGTCCGCGAGAAATACACGTTGCGATACACAGGAGGAATGGTCCCTGATGTTAATCAGGTAATCAACTAGTTTTCGACTTTTCGTTCATCCTTATATTTATTTATATAACCGTATTATATTTTTTATTAAATAAAAAAATGAATTTTATTACATGCAGATCATAGTGAAAGAAAAGGGAATATTCACAAATGTGATATCTCCAACTGCAAAAGCAAAGCTGAGGCTGCTGTTTGAAGTGGCTCCGTTGGGATTCTTGATCGAAAAGGCAGGCGGATTCAGCAGTGACGGAAAACAATCGGTTCTCGATAAAGTGATTATTAATCTTGACGACAGAACTCAAGTTGCTTACGGATCGAAAAACGAGATCATCCGATTCGAAGAAACACTCTACGGATCATCCAGGCTCAAAACCGCTGCACCCGTTGGAGCTTCTGCTTGATCACGACGAATTTAATGAATTTTCTATTATTATTATTTTTTTCCCGTTCGGCTAGATTGAAAATGCTGTGTACACAAACTTGTCGATGATGTTATTTTTTTTCTACGAGAATTAATGATGCAAGTGAATTTATGATCATGGTATCATCAATTGTTGTATCAGTTTGATATCTCCTTAACTTCTATTTTCATTTTTAACGTCGCTATGAAAATCGTTTCGTTTCATTATAGTTAAATTCTAGGAGAACGCGGTTTTTTTTCGTAATTGTAAATTCAAGAATATCCCTTTTGGTTTTCGTAGTTATTTCCAATGACGTTTGTCTGTCGAGTTTACTGCATTTACTAACCTTTGTGTTATAGCGAATTGCTAAAAAAAATCAATGTATCATTAATATTTGCAAAATACCCCTTTACTGCAATTTTTTTTAACACAAACCCCCTAAATGATCCGGTGATGTTAGGGGCTAGTTTGCTAAAAACATGCATTATAGGGTTCTGTTGCCAATATTAATAACACGGGAAACTTTTTTTATAATTAGACTACACATGGGGGTGTTGAATGCAATAAACGCGAAATTTGTGGTACATAGGAAGAACCCTTTGGAATATCAGCCTTTCATAGGATACTTACACAAGAAAATATGGCTGTCAAAGTTTCAAGAAAGCAAGTTAGTTTCTTGTGAACATCTCAAAACTTATTGTATATAAGCTATGGTTAATATAATCCTTTATTAAGATTACAAACTTTTACTTCTCATCGTCATTTAATAAAATGTCGAGTCCTCTACAGAAAAACGAGGCGGTGAACCAAAAATGGCACGGGTCGGTGGGAGGAATAGTAGATGCACCAATAGACGAGGTGTGGAAAATAGTGTCACAAAGCAGTAGATTGCACGAGTGGATGCCTATGGTCGAAAATTGCACTGATTTGTCGGGAAAAGAAGGTGTTCCGGGTTATACCCGTTTAGTCTCGGGTTTCATGTTCCCACAAAAAGACGAAGATAGGTCTTGGGTTAAGGAAAGACTTGTACTAATGGACCCTTTATCTTACATTTACGTTTATCGAATGGAAGCAAGCAATGTAGGTCTCGATGGATCTTTAAATTCGTTCAAACTCATTCATTATGGTGATGATTCGACACTAGTTGAATGGACGTTCGAGATTGATCCCGTGGAAGGTTTGTCTGAGGAGGGTATAGTAGACTACTTAGGGTACATTTATAAGTCTTGTATTAATAGGATTGAGGGTGCTATTGAGGCAAAAAAATCTTGTGTAGCATTCTTGAAGAAATTGTGAATGATATAATTACCGAATCCATTTTATGTACAATAATCTCATTAAAGATGGAATTTGGATGTTTGACAAATTAAAAACCATTACCAATTCACTTAAAATTTAAATTAAAGATTACAAAATGGCATTTTTTTTGGAAAAACAAATGTGGGACAAACCACTGGGGGCAAAATTTTTTTTTCTACAATAATTTGGCTTTTTTATTATTGAAAATGGCACTTTTTGGTTTAATTTCATTTCTACAACAATACACATTTGAGAAATGCGTATAATAAGGAGACGACACATGACAACATACTATTTGCTATGAAGAAGCAATTTTGCTAGCTGCGTGTTATAAGGAGTTGACATGTGGCAGCTGACAATTATATTTTAAAAAGCAAGTTTTCTAACTACGTGTTATAAGGCATCAACACTTGTCATCAGCCCTCTTTCTATTTATATATGCAATATTTACTTTATTTATTTAATTTATTTTAATTAAAAAATCAATGAAGAGACCGTATAATTAATTAAAAAGTTACTTTAAAAAAATATTATTTTGTATATTATTCAAGTTTTTTTGATAACACAAAATTATGAAAGGTTTTATTAATAAATTTTTTTTCTAAAAAAAATTAATTTTATTTTTATTTGAATAACTAAATAAATAATAAAAAAAATAATTAATTAAACAACATTATAAATAAATGCAAGAAAAAGAAATTTTATGTTTCAACAATATTTTTGGTCAAATATGCGGCATATGGCTCCCGGTGCTACATCCTCGAGGCTTTCTAATTTTGTGCCCTCTACCAAGATGTCCACTCTCATCTGCAACGTTAACACTCGATGGATCTGTGGGTTGAAATATGTTGGTATCGAATGTAATAGGTGTCAGTTGACGATCCGAAGATGGTGATGATAAAGAGCCCAAGTGAAGCTGTAAAATCGTGTCTTCAGAACCCACATTCGGCTCATAATACGAGGGGGTATATTGAGTTTCCATCATATGATCGTTTGTAGGATGTTCATCATTATCGAATACATGATTATATCCTGCAGAAGTAAACATAGGTGTCGTAGAAGTTCCTACCTCCCCATCGTACATCCCCGTAAATCTAGGCATCTAAGACTCGGGTATCTGCGTCTGTGACTGAGGCATTTTTGACTAGGCATCTAAGTCTGATATTGAGGCCTCTGAGACTGAGGCATATGTGGAGGGCCATGTCGATTTTTGAGTGCGGAAAGAGCCGTCCCGAGCGTAGGGAGATACGAACAAAGCCATCCTCATGTATGGTGGCTCCATCTTCGATAGAAATGATCAACGATCGAAGCTGCTGACTCTGAGATAAACCAAAATATTATAAGTTATATAAACTATATTATTTCGACACAACTGTTGTAAATCGCCCTAATGGTATTGCTCTCCAGTTTGATGATTGTGGAAAATAAAGTATGACAACGATATTAAAATATAGGGTAAATTACACCCACACCCCTGAGGTATGCTTAAATAACTGTAAGTTCCCTGTGGTAACGATAATTACACTCACCCCCCTGAAAGGTAGTTAAAAACTCTAACGGAATAATGCATTGGATACATTATTCCGATAGGGTTCTAATGGACTATTACTTTTAGCTAGTTGTGGAGATAACATAGAGTTATGGGGAGTTATGGGGTGACATGGCTTCCCCAATATTTCTTAAATCACCCATAACTTTTTGTTGTCTTCACCACTTCTTGAAACCAATAGTCCGTTCGAACTCTATCGTAATAACGTATCCAATGCATTATACCATTACAGTTTATAACTACCTTTCAAGGGGGTGAGTGTAATTATCAATAGCACAGGGACCTTAAAGTTATTTAAGTATATCTTAGGGGTGTGGGTGTAATTTACCCTAAAATATAAAGAGAGAATACAAAGACAAAAATTCGTAGAGAGATTAATAAGGGTGTAATATTGGGGGAGGGAGAATTCCATTATATAGGTGGAAAAATCACCGGGAGTTACAAAAGGAAGATAATCTACCACTTACACAAATGGAAAGACATGGGGTAGGTTAGTGATCTAGTGGGAAGTTGGGTGGTTATGTTAGGAAACCTCACAAACATATTATTTACAACACTCTCTCTTGGGGATTCCTATCAAAACCACTATTGTGCATTTCATGTTACCTCATTAAAACCTTCAGAGTAATAAAACCTTGTGGGACAAAAACAACCTCGGTTAGGAAAAAGAGTACAACGCATAATCTTTCCAATCAGCATATATTGCCTCGTTAAAAACCTTAGCGGGTAACCAAAAACCCCGTGGGAAAATAAATCCCGCAAAAAGGAAAAAGAGTACAATAGGACATCTAGGTATCTTCTGGATACTGAGTACCTACACGGTACTCCCCCTGAAGTTAACTCCCCCTGATGTTTATAAGGGAGCGAGCTCAGATAATCTACACAGGCCAATAGCCTTAACATGCTTTTCGAAAGTGACTTTAGGTAATGACTTAGTAAATAAATCAGCGTAATTATCCTCGCTTCTGATCTCCTGGATCATTATTTATTTGAGCTCTTGTTGTTGCTGATTGAAGAAAAACTTTGGAGCTATATGCTTGGTGTTGTCACCTTTAATGAAGCCCGTCTTCATTTTCTCAATGCACGCTGCATTATCCTCGAATATGATCGTAGAATCTTCTGTGGTAGCCAATCCACAGGAATCTCAAATATGCCCATTCATGGCTCTAAGCCAAGTACATTCACGCACTTCCTCGTGAAGTGCTAAAATCTCAGCATGATTCGATAAGGTGGCAACTAAAGTCTGTTTTGTAGACCTCCAAAACACAGCTGTGTTCCCCATGGTAAGTACATATCCAGTTTGGGAACGAGCCTTGTGTGGGTCTGACAGATACCCAACGTCAGCATAACCCACAAGCTTTGCATCCTTTAATGATGCATAGGGATAGAACAAACCCATTTCTATTGAACCCTTAAGGTAACAAAATACGTCCTTTACACCATTCCAATGGCGGCGTGTTGGTGATGAGCTAAACCTTGCTAGCAAATTTACCGCAAATGCGATATCAGGTCGAGTACATTGAGCTAAGTACAATAATGCGCCTATTGCATTTAGGTATGGCACTTCAGGTGTTAACACTTCTTCGTCCTCCTCCATAGGACGGAACGGGTCCTTCGACCTATCCAATGATCGAACTACCATAGGCGTGCTCGATGGTTTCGCTTTATCCACATTAAAACATCTTAACATCTTTTGGATGTAGTTCGATTGATGGACCAAAATTCCATCAGCACGGTGTACTATCTCAAGTCCGAGACAGAAATTAGTCCTACCGAGATCTTTCATCTCAAACTCATGTTTTAGGAGTTGGGCTGTTTTACGGACACCTTCAAGAGTCCCAATCAAATTCATATCATCAACATAAACCAGCAAACCCAGAACATGTTTTCTTAATAAACACGCAAGGACAAATATCATTGTTCACGCATCCCCTTCCGAGCAAGTATTCACTTAGGCGATTATACCACATTCTTTCAGATTGTTTCAATCCATAAAGTGAACGTCTCAACCTAACTGAGATCTTGTTCCGTGGTCTAGAACTAATTGCTTCGAGTAATCGAAGTCCTTCAGGAAATTTCATATATATACTCGTATCTAGATCCCCATATAAATAAGTTGTGACCATATCCATGAGCTGCATAGTCAGTTCCTCGGATACAACCAAACTGACTAGATATCTGAATGCAATTACATCCATAACAGGAGAATATGTCTCCTCAAAGTCAATCCCATGTCGCTGAGAAAAGCCTTGTGCTACGAGACGAGCCTTATATCTCATAATCTCCTTTTTTCTCATTTCTTTTCCTTATGAATACGCATTTATATCCCATGGGTATAACTCCATGAGGTGTAGGAGCTACCGGCCCAAACACTCCCCTTTTTACCAATGAGTCAAACTCAACCTGAATTGTTTTTTCCCAATTCGGCCAATCATCGCTCTGTTTACATTCATCAATTGACCGAGGCTCAATATCATCACTAGATACAATTTCAGTAGATACTGTGTAAGCAAACACGTCATTGATGATTATTTCATTCCGATGCCACACCTCATTCATGCATGAATAACTAACCGAGATTTCTCTATTCTCGGGAATGGATACTAATGTCGAGGCGTCCCCCAATTTCGTCTCCAAGACAGATCCATAGTCCGGAACTATTTCATGAGATGGATCAGGTGAGATCCCATTGTTATTAGTGCTAACCGCATTCAACTGTTGGGCATTCATCCGCTTCCGGGGATGAGAATCCTTTGATCCAATTAGTCTCCCCCTCTTCTGGGCAGGGAGATATGATTGGTTAGCAGGGACTGATGGCCTTCCCACGTTTTTTCCTTCTGGGACATCTATCCTTGCATACACGTTTGCAGCTGGTATATGAGATCTCGTCACTTTTTCTAAGTCAGAGAATGAGTCTGGTATATTATTGGCTACTTTATGTAGATCTACGAGTCTACGTACTTTAAACTCTCTGACTGAAGTAGGGGGATCGTGATGAGACACAGTGGGGTCATTCCACACGACTTCACGCCGTTCTTCAGGAACGTTAGTGTGAACGTTCTTTCCTCCCCCTAACGGCGGGAAGACGGTCTCATCAAAGTGAAAGTCCGCGAATCGAGCGGTAAAGAGATCGCCTGTCAAGGGTTCTAAATATCGTATTATAGATGGTGATTTATAACCAACATAAATGCCCAATCTACGTTGAGGTCCCATCTTGGTCCGTTGTGGCGGATCAATCGGGACATAAACTGCACACCCAAATGTGCGTAAATGAGAAACGTTTGCTGTACTTCCGGACACCAACTGTAACGCAAAATATGATTGGGTTGCAGTGGGCCTCAATCGCAATAACATAGCTGCGTGCAATATTGCATAGCCCCAAGCAGAGATTGGAAGTTTGGTGTGCATTACCAAAGTTCGTGCAATTCTCTGTAAATTCTTAATAAATGCCTCT